CACATACATACATATAGTAACAGTCAAAGTCAAACTGATGTTTGAGGCCTTGAGGTGTTCTGATTAATACACGTAGTTCTGCTCCCGTGATTAACTGCTGCATCAGCTGCAGGGGATCAACTCTGACAGTCAATAAAACTCTGTTTGGATTTAAAACCTATTTATTCTGAACCAAACTGCTGGTTGACCCAATGAGACCGATGGAAGGTTCTATCCCACACAGCTGAGTCCACAGCAGGCAGACATGTTGTTGGAGATGACCTCCACTGCCATCAGGTCCTCCAGGCTATCATCTGGATCATGGAGCTCACTGTGAGCTTCAGGCCACGCCGGCTGTGTCGCCTCTACTGACCAGAACGCCACAGGAACCTGCAACAACAACTCCTGTTCAGCAAAGTACAAAAACCGTGGTCCGGATGTTCTAACAGGAAGTTCTCACTCACCTTCAGCTGCATCTCATGTAGCATTTCCTCCAGTCCTGCAATATGGTTGGTCAGATCAGGACTTGGCACTGCCTCCAAAATGAGCCAAGGAACCTGAACAAGAGCCACCCGGGCTGCCACTCCCACCAGACCATCAGTACACCCTGAGAGGACAGAGAGGGACACGGGTAACTTTCTTTTTCTCTGTGGTCAAAAGAACTGGCAGTGATGCTTCACATCAGAATGTCAATTCTGGAGGAACCATAAAGGAGAAGATGTTTCAGAGAGCCGATGGAGTTTTGCTTTTGGTAAATTTACAGCTAATGTACAGATAAATCCAGGATCCTCATAAAGGTCCTCTGTGTCTTCAACAAAGTTCTTGGCACTCCTAAAGGAGATTCATCCTAGATGATTGCTATGTGACCATTAAAATTCTTTCTTTAGGATCAGAGGTTCATCAGACCCCGTCTAAACCACTCAGTTTTGGATCAATCCCTGTCTAAACTACTCAATTTGGGATCAGACCCAATCTAAACCCCTTGGTTTGGGATCAAATCCAATCTAAACCCCTTGGTTTGGGATCAAACCCAATCTAAACCCCTTGGTTTGGGATCAAATCCAATCTAAACCCCTTGGTTTGGGATCAGACCCAATCTAAACCCCTTGGTTTGGGATCAGACCCAATCTAAACCCCTTGGTTTGGGATCAGAACCCATCTAAACCACTCAGTTTAGGATCAGACCCAATCTAAACCCCTTGGTTTGGGATCAGAACCCATCTAAACCACTCAGTTTAGGATCAGACCCAATCTAAACCCCTTAGTTGGGGATCAGCCCCAGTCTGAAGCACTCGATTTAGGATCAGATCCGGTCTAAACCACTTAGTTTAGGATCAGACCCGGTCTTATGGTCTGATCCGTATCTCGGGGTCTTGTTCATGAATGAGGGAAGATTGGAGCGGGAGATCGACAGGTGGACTGGTACTGTGTCTGCAGTGATGTGGGCGTTGTACCGGTCTGTCGTGGTGAAGGTTTACCAGTCGGTCTACGTTCCTACCCTCATCTATGGTCAGGAGCTTTGGGTAGTGACTGAAAGAAGGAGAT